CGACTCTGAGTGAGCGAGTGTCGGAAGCAAACGAAGAGGTGAGCAAAGTGCACCCACCCGACGATTCAGAGTGTGTCCTCACAAAAGGCTGTCCCGCTATCAAATCCTAAACCTTAGGCGTCGCTTGAACGGGTGAGGGAAATGTGGGCGTCGGTAGAGTTTCATGGGAGCAATGTGCAAGCCGGCTCATTGGAAGGCGGAGTGGCCAACAGGTTCCACAAGTGTTTTAATCGGCCTCGAACTGTATCCATGGCGTCTGACTACCCCATAAGGGAGAGCTTCACAGGTTCGGTAAAACTCGATGCAGGGTGAACTCGTGAATTTCTGCAATGTTTCATCAGGGTAGAGTTTTACGATCACTGGATACTGTATACGAGACAGAATAAAGAAAATTTTCGGTTGTATATTCTATCGTCCTCGATTGCAATGGTTCTCCAGGGAAGGATCGAATGGTGAACGAAACCCAAAAAGGCAAATTACGTCGTATATTTCCCCAAAAATACCTCGCTAATTCTTGTTGATTTCACTCGGGGTTCGAGTCGTCAACTGAAGTGCGTGGACCCCATTCTTGAGCTCGTCATCAAGGACAGAGTAGATGAGTCGATGTCGCTGAATGGTCCTCTGAAAGACGGAAATGGCAATGATCAAAGATGGATTAGTTTTGCGGCGTAAGAGTTTTGGACGTTAGCATCAGATGGGTGTCATTCAAGGCAATTTAAGGTAAACCGAATAACGTGGAAAACTGCATACCTTTCCTTCAAAGGCCGCTGATACGATCTCCACAGCGAAATCTGGGGAAGAACATGCAGAGATAGAAATTTCGGCAAGGCAAAAGCAGTTTTTGCACCCATATGGAACCGATTTCATCAGTCAAAATTGCATTGAGGTTGATGTGAGGCAAAAGTTAAAAGTGCATTGATGTTAGTGTGAGCGACCAACCGCCTTCCGTCCAATAAATCAAACAATGAGCGAGGAGCGTACGAGTTTCCCCATTTCCTCCTCCGATTTCTCTCATCGCGGCATGGCCGCTATGTTTCCATGAATCGTTCGCGATCGTCAACACGTCTGGTTCCAAAGCGGCTTCCAACTGAGCGTCGTGGGTCGTCCACAATGAGATGAATCGTCGGAGAAAGGGGAAGGAAGACAAATTAGCGGCTATTCATGAGGGTTTCACTACGGATTGGCTACCTTTGCCCTGATGGACTGTTCGATGGGGCCTGCAGTAGGGTTCTGAGAGGAAGAAGAGAAGCCCTGGGTGTTTGGTAGCGACATTATCGGTGTGGTACGTGTCCTAATGAGGGCAACTGTGGAACGGCTCAGCCGGCTCAGGGCAAAAGACATGCTGGCTCCAAAAGAGGATTTGTTCAGCGTCA